AGGGAATAATAAAAACACAAATGGCATAGAGAAAGCAAATAGGGATTTACTATCTCTCACAACATCATAACTAGGGGATATGCAATAAAACAATTATAAGGGAGCCAGTTTAAAAATACAAAACAAAAAGAAGTCATTTCAAACAGTATATAGTTAACCTATGGAACTCATTGTTTACAAACAATAGATGTTATAGCCGCTGAAAGTTTAATCAGGTCCAAAAGAGGATTGGGCATATTCATGCAGGACAGGTCCATCAGTGGGTATTAAACATTACAGTTTGGGGTGCGACATCCAAATTATGACTTTATAGGACTCTGAATACTGGAAGGTATAAGGGAAGAAGGAATAGATTAGTCTGGATAGGTGACTTTCCCTTAGCATCCATGTTCTGCACTGAGATACAGGCTACTTGGTTAGATGGACTAGTGGTCTGACCAACTACAGTATTTATGTTCTTAAGTTGGAAGAAATCTAGCATACACACATGCACACACCCCGCTTTTGAACCAACTGATGAGTAATGAATGTAAGTACGTGTATGACCGGGCAGTAGGCAAAAAAATAGTTTCATAGTTGGTAGGGTCGGAAGGGACCGGAGCAGATCATCAAGTCCGACCCCCCTGCCGTGGCAGGAAAAAGTACTGAGGTCAAACGACCCCAGCAAGGTGTTCGTCTAACTTCCTCTTAAAGACCCCAGTGTAGGAGCCAGCACCACTTCCCTTGAAATTTGGTTGCAGATCCTAGCCGCCCTGACTGTGAAGTAGTGCCTCCCTATGTCTAGTCTAAATCTACCCTCTGCCAGCTTGTGACTGCTATTTCTAGTCACTACTGGTAGTGCTCGGGGGAACAGGGATTCCCCCAGTGCCTGCTGGTCCCCTCTGACTAGTTTGTAACAGGCCACTAGATCCCCCCTCAGCCTTCTCTTGTGGAGGCTGAACAGGTTCAGGCCCCTTGGCCGCTCCTCGTAGGGCCTGCCCTGCTGCCCCCTGATCATGCGAGTGGCCCTCCTCTGAACCCTCTCAGTGCTGTCCACATCCCTCCTGAAGTGCGGCACCCAGAACTGGATGCAGTACTCCAACTGCAGCCTGACCAGTGCCACACAGAGAGGGAGGATTGCCTCCTTAGACCTGCTCGAGATGCACCTGTGGATGCATGACAAGGTGTGGTTGGCCTTCCTGACTGCGTCCCCACACTGTTGGCCCATGGTCATTTTGGCATCAATAATGATTCCAAGATCCTCTTCGGCCTCTGTGCTGATGAGAAGGGAGCTCCCCAGCCTGCAGGTATGCTGCTGGTTCTTCCTCCCCAGGTGCAGCACCTTGCACTTGTCAGTGTTGAAACCCACCCTGTTCTCATCCGCCCACCCCTGTAACCTGTCTAGGTCCAATTGCAGCCTATTCCTCCCTTCTAGCATACCCACATCCCCCCACATCTTAGTGTCGTCAGCAAATTTGAACAGGGTGCTTTTTACCCCCTTGTCCAAGTCACTGATGAAGATGTTTAAGAGCGCAGGTCCGAGGACCGAGCCCTGGGGGACCCTACTGCCCACATCCCTCCAGGTCGAAAATGACCCATCCACCACCACTCTCTGGGTGTGGCCCTCCAGCCAGCTAGCGACCCATTTGACTGTGTAGGTGTTGACGCCACAGTCCCCTAGTTTTTTAATGAGAATGGGATGAGAGACAGTGTTGAAGTCTTTCTGGACTTCAGGAAGGCCTATGTCCACTGCTACCCCTGCGTCTAAGGATTTTGTGACCTGGTCACAATAGGTTGGCAATTACTTATTGAGATCATTTTGTTTAAACTTTTCAGCTGTTTTGTCTCCATGAATAACTGAACTATATCAGAGATGCTCTTCAGTAAGAAAAGTACAACCTCACAGGATAGGGTTTTGGGTTGACTTGGAATCTGTTTTTGGCACGCATTACAACTGTTCTTAATAGAAATGGGCCACTTTGATACTTCTCATAATTAACATAACAGTTCAACTATTTATACAAATGTATACATTTGTGGGAGGAAAGGCAACTCATATTACCATATTTAGTCAAATCCAAGATGAGGTCCCCTCCCTGCAAAACTTTCAGTATTCAGAGTGCACAATGCATCTTCCTCCCTGCTCTCATTTATTCTAATGCCTACAATGTATTTCATAATGGTCGGGCAACTAGTCTACTAAAATCACTACTTATCCCATTGACCAATATTATCTTCCTGAATTTGTCTGTTGCCTCTTAGATTTTTAAACACATTAGGAAACATATCTTCTCATTCTGTTTTTTTTTCAGTATCCTAGGACACCGAGGTCCTGGTCCATTCCTAAGGCTCTCAAGTGCTATGGTAATAACAGTGTTGGAACAAAGATCTTCACATGAAGTGACCCGTAAATGGACTAGACAATTTAAACCAGTGGTTCTTGACCAGCATGCTGCAACACCCTGGGGTGCTTTGAGACCCTCCTAAGGGTACCATAGGGTGCTGCTCAATATTGGCACTGATAGGTATGCAAACACCTACACATGATTCACAAGATAAACCCAAAGATTTCAAACAGGAATCCACAGCATCAAAAGCATTCTGACCAGTTGTGGTGCGAGCTGTTTGCAACAGAATTGCTCCATTATTCTTCTGTAGTCAAGAAGTGAGTGAAAATTAACAGCTGGCATTTCCAAGGGTGACCTGACACCAACAAAGGGTGCCTGGAGTCTAAAAAGGTTGAGAATTACTGGTTTAAGCTACAGTAAGAAGTAGTTCGGTCTTTGCAGAATGATCTTTCATATCAGGTCAATTATAATGAAATTGTATCAGCTTCACTGCCAAGAATATACCGATTACCAGTGGTGGGGCAACTCCATTCCTAAAAACACCGAACAATGTGACACTGCTGACTGGGAAAGTGGTTTCCTGTGCTGCAAAAGTTTGGATTTCACTCATTCCACACTGGGATAAAACACAAACCTTACAAAATCCAGAAAGAAGGAGAAAGAGACACTTGTGCACCTCCAAAGAAGTCAAATAGCCCAGTAAGTGCACTTGCCTGGTATGTGGGAGATGCAGTTTTAAATCTCTGTTCTCTTGGGTTGAAACCGAGGACCTGAAGAATCCCAGTCTCCTTCATTCCAGGTGAGTGCCCTAACCCCTACACTCTTGCCTATTTTGGCATAAAAGCTGTTCTTTTATTTATTGCTGAGAAGAGGAGGATTGGGGAGGGAAAATACTGGCTCTCTGGGGACACTTACCTGGACATGGTAGATGGAGGGGAAAAAGACACCTGAGCATGGGTTTCCTAACATCTCAAATGAGTGCCCTCTGAGTTAATGGCGCTCTCCCCCTCTCCCCTTCCCTATCCCCCATGAAGTTTTGACCAGAAATTCCATCCTGGATTTGCCAAACCATTCCCAAAAATGTTATAAGCCTTCCTGTGACAAGTTTTGGTTTCAACAGACCAGCATTTGGTGAAAAAATGCTTTGTTGGGAAAAAAATCCTAACCAACTCTGCTCGTAATGGCTACACAAGAGATGGACTCCAGGATAAACAGCAGGTGGCTGAAATTCAACCCAAAAAGGATTGAACTGATGTTTCATGGAAATAAGTGCTTTGAAGAGTCTGCTAGAACAATGCCCTTTCTTTGGAGGCAAACATCCCATATTTGCCAAAATGGCATGAGGTCTTGAGAGCCTGCTTTACTTATCACTGAACCTGCCAAGGAATGCTCTCTAGAAAACATCACTTCTTCTTAGACATGGATTTCATCAAAGTGATTTATGACTTTGTCATCCTCTGGCACATCTTAATGCATTTTATTCAACGATGAATGCAAAAACAATGACCAGACCCTAAACGATGCTAAAAATGGCTCGCTTCTCCATGGAGTGATTCACAGAAACACACTGTTCCTGTTTTGGTTCACATTCCACCTTTGCAGCAAATTCAAAGTCCTGCTTCTAATCTGCTAAATCACTAATAGGACAAGCCCAGCTACATTAGAGGTAAGGTAAATATCAGCACAACATATAAACAGCTGCACTCCTTTGCAGCGAAAGCACATGACAAAGCCCAGGAGAAAGCATAAGAGCCAGACACACATTCTTGGTCAAAGCTGAATCTACCTGTAGACTAATTTGTAGGAAAGATGAAGAATCTAATCATCATCAGGTTATACTGAAAGACCTTCCTCTCTGATCCAGTTTTGTGATCATAATCATAGAAATGAAAGGCATTTCCAAATTCACCTAACCCACCCAAAAATCTCTCCCTTTAAAAAAAGAGTTTTCTAGTGTTAGAGAGGGGGGGAAAAAAGAGTTGAAACTCAGAAGTCCACTAGGGACCTTGGCTATAACAAGGTAACTAAGTTATGAGTCACTTGGGTACAAATATAAACACTGAAGTCAGGTAGTTAGATATTTAATAGATACTTCTACCATATTGTATTCAATTACATCTAATAAATACGTTATCCACATCTTTAGTGATAGTTTAGGGGTGTCTTTGATGGGTTGGAACTATGAATTGAAAAGGCTTTTGGCTTTCTGTATACAAAATTCTTTCTTGTTAATCTAGCAAATATAGTTTAGAGAAGAATTTAAGAATAGTTTCAATTTTGTTTCAAAGTAACATACTGATAAACATTTAAAGCCACAGTTCCAAAATAGTGGACTTCACTGATAACACCTGCTCAAGAAATCTTAAGGATTTTTTAGTGCTTAAGAAAAATTAACTACCCAAATTCTGTTTCTTAACCTAGGTATTTCTGACTTCCTTCGAAGTTATCAAGATCTGCTTTGACCCAACCCATCCACCCTCTCTACCTTGTAGCTTTTGATCTCCATATCTTTGATGGCTTTCACTCTTTGGCCCTCATTTTATATCAGAAGTTCCTACCTTTTCCCCCAAATTGCTAGTATGAGTTTTACAAAAGGGATCTGCTCATGCTTTAGTGCAGTGGTTCTCAACCTTTTCAGGCTCAAGGCACCCCTCAGAAAATGCCAGCTGTTAATTTTCACTCACTTTATGACTACTGAAAAATAATAGAGCAATTGTTACACTGCAAAGAACTGAGAAAGACCACAACAGGTCAGAATGTTTAACACTGCCTATTTCTGTTTGATCACTATGGCACCTTATAGCACCCTTGAAAAGATCTTGCATCACCCAGGTTGAGAATCATTGCGTTAGTGGTTACATCAAGAAATCTATGGAAAAAATAAACTTAAAAATGATTAATATACAACCTATTAGTCTTTTTGGGGAAAAAACTGTCTTCCTTCAGAACATAGTTATAGAAAATTTATGGGATTTCTTGACTATTTTACTGGTTTAATTCAACAGCTTTGATAACAGTCCCTAGTTTAAAACAGCATAATAAAGCAAAAATTGTCCTTAAAGAGTTTACCAGTGTAAATCTTACTGCACTTTAGACAGAGAGAGCAACAAGATATTTCATGTAGTCCCACTGTAGTCAGGGCAAAAATATTACCTTATGCAATGCTATCTTGTGCAACACATTCAATTGTGTAAAATTATTCCGTGCAGTAAAGAGCAGAAAAATGCCAGTTTTGTATATGCTTGTTATTTCCCCAATTTGTCTTAATTGTAAACCTTAGGTTTTATTCCCTTCATACCAAAGCCAGATTTTTCTAACTATAGTTTCACTACAGATTTCAATCTTTATTTTGTAAAGGTGTTCCTATACCTAAGGATTTTTAATTGGTGAAAATATGTGCATTTATAAGGGAACACTTGGCTTTTAGAACAGCAACATAAAAAAGTATGCACTAAATATACCAAAAAGAGAACTTATTTTGAAAGCAATAATTTAAATATGCAAATTTGAATATACATACATTAACAAACACAAAACACACTAGACATAAACGATAATTTAGTAAAATATCTTCATTGTCAGAGCCAATAAATCTGGACAGGAAGACTGGGAAATCATAAACATAAAATTAGGAAAGATTTGAGAGAGTGAGTTTGCATAACCAGCTTGGTGTTAGGCAGCCATCTTTGTTGCCCCTGTATTTACTGAAGTACAGCCTTATTAGGTCTGTTGTCGCAGCAAATGCTTTGACTCTTGTGTAACATTTGAGCTGCAACATTTGCATGCTTAAAGTTTCTTGCAAAGGTTAGTAGATGCATACAGGTGCATACAAATAAAACTTATCTGACACATTGTAGTTTTGCACAGGGTTAAAAATGAAGGCAATAATGCAGACAAAAACCTTTGAGCTCCAAAAAGAGCGAAGCTGGTCCTGCAGTGCTGGCTTGACTGTCTGAAATTTTATAAAAACAAAATCCACTAATTGAAAACCTTTTTGGCAAAACATCCAAATATTTAACAGTAAGAAAATATCTATCAATATTTTGCTTATAATACAAGTTTGGAAAACATTACCTTCAAGCTTGGTGTCTGGGTCTGGTCAACAGTGAATCTCATTAAAATACTGAATTGGAGATCATTTGGAAAAGATTCTCTGCAAAATGAAAGTATCAGGAAAACATGTTACATACATGGGGCTTATTTTAGCCACCTCTTTATGTTAAACAACTCTAAGTGGTACTTACAAAACCACCAGCATTAACAAGTATAGGGTGCATCTACACAACACAATGCAAAGCTAATTAGGCTATATTCCCCTTAGTCCAAACTACCTTTGAAACTTCAGAAGTGGTTTTAAAGCTACCAACAGGTTCTTCTTTGAAGCAAAACCCTTACAGTACAGCAGCGGAACTCGATCTTTTTCTCCAGGGCTAGGGACAAACATTCAAAAAGCCTGAGCCTGAATTGATTCAATCTTTGCAGGTTAGTCTAACCTGCCTAGGTTGAACTGATTTGTAACTGTACAGACATTCCCTCCGGACCAAGGAAATGTAGGCACATGCCTGTAGCTGCTCAGGCCAGGCACCAGGGGGTGCTAGACTGTGTGCAAGGACGCTGTGCTTGAGGGGAAGGGAGGGGAGGTGGGGGGTCGGGGTCGGCCAGCCCGGGTAGTAGCCTTGGCTGAACTGGCCAGAGAGGGGTTTAGTTCCCCCTTCCCTGTCTCACTAGCAGGACCCAAGCCAGGTCTGCTGGGCACTCTCCCCTTGCTGCAGCACCAGTGGGGCCGGGCGTGTCCAGACACTGGCCAGTATGGTCCTTGAGGCAGATGGGACACGGAGGGAGATTATTCTTCCCTCTACTCCCACTGCCCCTGGAGGACTGCAGCAGGGTCTGCCCACCCCGACTGCTGCTGCCGCTTGCTCACGGTTTGGGGCAAGCAGCAGAATAAGCCACCTCCTGTCCTCTCTGTCAAATGCCCAAGGGAGGGGGAGGAATAACCTCCTTCCTTGTGTAAGAGTTCCTGCCAGCCAGCGTCTGGCTGCACCTCCACCCCACTGCTCCAGTGGCAGGGTGGGGGGTATTCCCCCTCCCTCCAGTTTCCGGTGGAGGGGGCAGGAGGTGGCTTATTCTGCTGCCTGCCCCAAGCAGGGAGCAAGCAGCAGTGGCGTTTGGGGTGGACAAACCCCGCTGCGGTCCTCCAGGGGCAGTGGAGGGGGGGAGGGGCAACCCCCCTCCCTGCCAGTTTTGAAACTGGTTTATGTGCACTGAACATCTGTTCTGTTACAGGTTTAAGTCAGTTTCTGATCACATAAACCAGTTTGTGTGTCATGTCTGTCCCTAGTCCAGCAGGCTGGGTAAGCAGTGCTTGGGCAGTCCATGGGTCAGACTGGGGCTGGTGGTGTGGGGTCCTGGAGTGGGGAAGGGAGCGTGGTCCAGCCCTGATTTAGCACTGTCGGGGGGAAAGGGAGCATGGCCTGGCCCCAATCTGACTGTGTGAGGGGCAAAGGCATGGGCATTTGGCAGCGGAGAGAATGGCAATATTAAAGGCCATTGCTCCCCCACAGCGAAATTTCCCAATCTGTAGGGAGCCCCATGGCCCAGACACATTTGGCCTTCAGGCCAGAGATTGAGCACCCCTGCAGTACAATAACGAGGGAAATCTGGAAGTCACTCAGCACATTTTGGTCAGGAATATATTACCTTGTGATATCAAGTGCCTTCTGAACTTTTGCTTGTACAGACCCAAGCAAATCAGCACCCATTTTTTTCAGCAGCTGTGTCAGCAATACAAACAACCAATCCTGTAGATCCTCTTTATGGACCTGGATGAAATCTACCAAAGTCTCCAAAAACATACTGAACACCTAAAAAGAGATAGAAAAGGGAAAAAGGGGTTGGGATGGGAAAAAAGAGGAAGTCACATTGACATGTGCTGAACTTGCAAACAAATAATTAAGCAATAAGGGAATCAAAGGCAGAAAGAGGTAGTGATTTGCAGCCAAGCAGGAAAACAATCGGTCTTGCTTTTCATTGGCTTCTGGGATACAGGCATACGTTTAAAACGTTAACCAACTTCTGTGGAGTTTGGCAATTAGCTAGTCCATGCAGTATCAATGAGTAAAGAAATGCTCACTGTGATGGCTGGCACAACTTTTTTTTTTTTTTCAGCTTGACTTTGTTTCTCACTGCCTCAAGCTTTACGTATAAAGGCAGTTCTACACATCACATGCAGACTATTAAAATAACCCTTAAAAAAAACAAAGAAGCTACATCACTCTTTTAGTGAATTATTATTTATGGACAAAAACATACTGCATATCCACAGAATATCTGTGGAAAGGACCAGGTTCTTTCTGTAACAGAAGATTTTGAAAGAAGAAATTATCCACCACAGCAGAAGATAAAGCAAAGTACATTTCAAATCCTGACATGTTTTTGAAATCCATAGCATATTAGCTTTCTAGAAAGGTATTTCTTCGTGCTACTTTGGAAAAGCAATGGAGTTAATCTGTGCCACTTTGTAAATAGCAAAGAGCATCAAAAGTAAAAGAATGACCCTAGCTGTAGGACCAAATCACAAGTGACATTAAAACCTGTGGTACAGCTTTATGACAAAGAAGAGGGTATGTGCGTGCGTGTGGTTAACACAGTTAGAAACTATCACTAACTTCTGGAATTATAAAGTTTCTACTGGAGTGGGACAAACATTTTCTAGATATCTGACTCCAGTGTTAAATATTCTACCAGAATTCTAACCTAATCTTCAGATCAAAAAGGTATACTGCTGAGAAAAGGTACCAGATGATGGTAGCAGCTCTAATGAAAGCTCTTCTTTTCAACACTGTAGTCAATACAGTAATCAGGGTAAATACCCAAAACACAAACACAAGTCTAGAGTTTAATTCAGTGGAGGCCAATCTTTCTGGCAGGCTTGCTATATATTAGCCCTGTGCCCTACAAATCATTCCAATCCCCTTTACATACCCGATGCATAGCTCTGCTTTCTGCTCCCTGCCTGACTGGCTGCTCTGCTTTCTGCTCCCTGCCCTATCTTTCACTTTGCTGCCCATCTCCTTCCCAGTCTGCCAGGTGCTACACACAGAGGCTGCCTGTGCCACTTCTGGCACCAACATTACAGGGTGGCTACCCCTAGTTTAATCCAAGTTATCCAGTCTGGCTTTGGTAACTATTGATGTCTCAGCTTTCTTTTAAATAAAGATCAATTTAATTGCCACATCTGATGTTTTCACAAAATTCTTTCTATTTAGGATAGGCAGACAAAATTCTTTGGGTAGAGGCGATATCTTTTATTAGACCAACTAAATAGTAGCAAAAAAAATTCTCTCTTTGCAAGCTTTTGGGCCTAAATGCCTTTCCTCAGGCCCTGCATACTGGATTTGGCACTCAATCCCAGTGAGCAGAGCTGGGTATGGGTGGTGCTGGGCCCCAATCCCAGTGTGCAGGGAGTGGGAGGGGGCAGTGCTGGGCTCGTGGACTCAATCCCAGCACACAGGGCAAGGAGGGGGCAGTGCCAGGTCACAGGACATGATATGGCCCACAGATGGGCCCTGTCACTCATCTGGTCCAGGGGGCCAAAAGGTTAAGCACCACTGATCTAGTCTATTAATCCATTATAGTACCCAAAGAAAGGTAAGAAATTCACAATGGACACATGTCCAATAATCTTTCCCTTATACTAAGCCTGATCCTGGTCAATAGTTAAGCATGATTCTTAATAGACCATATAAAACTTATAATACCTGGTCAACATAAATCATGATAATTCTGGATATTTTTCTTAGTAATTCTTGGTCTTAGTGTCATTCTGTGGTAATAAAGCTGGGGTGGGAAAATGCAGCCCACAAGGCCATTCTATCTGGCCCACAGGGCCCCTACAAAATTTAGAAAATTAATATTTATCTGCCCCTGGCTGCCTGTCATGTGGTCCTCGATGGCTTGCCAAAACTCAGTAAGTGGCCCTCCACCTGAAATAACTGCCCACCCCTGTAATAAAGTAAGCAGGGCAGTCAGTGTTTCCATCAAAGACTCCCCTTCCTGAGAGATGAAAAGCTCTAATTAAATCTGTGGTGTGTTGGCCTGCTTGCTGCAATGGGAATGCTCTGAATTATTCACAGCATATGTGACTAGGACAGGTACTAGAACACAGCTCCAGCACACCTTATGCTGGGATAGCTAAGTTGTGGGTGCAAAAGCAAAAGGAAAGTTCTGTCTGCTTTATGTTTTGTTCAAATCTACTATGACTTTGTGCCAGTGAAAGTTAATCAGTGCTAATGTATCAGTGCAATGAAAAGCAAGGTAGTGTTAGACATGACACGATTCCAAAAGCTAAAGGTGTAGGGCAAACAATGTAGCCATGTTGCAAATCCTATACATTTTATTACATAGGAAATGCTGTATTATAAAAACATTATTTAAATTGAAAAGTTGAGCACTGAAGGATCAGGAAATGTAAGATGTTAGAATCACATAATAGTTGGGCTGGAAGGGACCTCAGGAGGTTATTTAGACTAATCCCCTGCTCAAGGCAGGACTGTCCCCAACTAAAACCATTCCACTCAATGGTCTGCCTAATTTGCTCCTGAAAACATCAAACAACCTCTATGAACAGCCTGTTCCAATGCTTCATTACTTGTACAGTGAGAAAGTTTTTCTCTAATCTCCAACCTAAACTTCGTCTGTTGCAATTTGAGACCATTGCTCCTAGGCCTGTTCCCTGCAGTCACAAAAAACCGTCTATCATTCTTATAAGCACCCTTTAGATATTTGATATTGTTATCAAATTCCCTCCCTTTTAGCCTTCACTGGTAAACCATGCTTTCTAGGACTCTCACCATTTTTGCCACTCTTTACTGGACTCCTTTTAAACTGTCCAAATCTATGGGCCCAAAACAGGACACTCTCTCACTAGTGGGGTGGCAGAATAGAGTGGGAGAGTAACTTGGCTTGATTTACAAGTGACATTCCTATTAATATAGTCCCGTATTCTACTGGCCTTTTTTGCAACAGGAGCGTGTTGCTGGATCCTATTCAGTTTATGGTCCACTGTACTCCCCAGTCCTTTTCTGCAGTACTGCAGCCTTAGCCAGTCACCTCAGTCCGTTTACGCACGCAAGCTTTTACCCTGTATCAAGGATCACCTAGGTCCGCAATTACAGCTGCCCAACCAACCTTACTTTTAAGAGATCCACTTTCTGGTCTGAATAGAGTCCACTATACTAGGGATTCATGTAATCTTCTAGGCTTTTTCATAGAAGATGGAGGTGGGGAGTGAAAGACAGATACCCTGGCGCATGTGGCCAGTCCTAGTGCCCCCAGGCGTGCAGTGGGGTGGCAGTGGCCACACTCACTTTTGGCAGCCTCCACAGCAGCAGCTCCTTCCAGCTGTCGCTGCCAGTCTCCACTGCTGCTGTTAGACCCAGCCATGCTGCCCGGGCACTCTGAACCATCTGCCCTGCACCCACCACTGGGGACACTGGACAGAGTGGGAAAGTAGGGTTTCCATGAAACCCAGCCCAGGACCCATGCAGAGAGGGCTCATGGCCAGACGGATGGGATGGGATGGGGCTGCAGGCAGGGAGAGGCATCTGGGAGTGGGTCAGGCAGGCAGGACCAGGAGTGGGATCAAGACTGCAAGGCAGTGGTGACAGCATGGGGCTAGGGCCCATGGCCCTAGACACAGCAAGGATCCGCTGCCCACACATCCCTGCGATGCATGCCAGTTCCGCAGGCAGGGGTGTGTGAGGAGTGGATCATGGCTCTGTCCCCACCCCCACACTGCCATAGCTCCATGATCCTGATCCTAGCCCTGGCCCTGCCCACTTGTCCTGCACTCGGGATGGGGATGCGGGTGGGCAGAAAGCAGCATTCCAATCTGCCCATCTGTATGCCCTGCCCGCGCAGGTCTCAGGCTGGTCTCCATGGAGACCCTGGGATCCCTGGGCAGTGACAGCATGGGGCTGGGGCCCAGGGCAGAGCCAGGATCCACTCCCTGCATGCCCCTGCCTATGCAACCAGTGGCCAAAGGGGCATGAAGGGAGCAGATTGTGGCTTTGCCTTGGGCCCCAGCCCTGCGCATTCACCACCAAGCAATCCTGATCCCAGACTCACCTGCCTTCAGCCCCATCCCAGTTGCCTGCTGCCTAGCTGCACAGGGGACAGAGCCACTTAGGGAGTTTTGGTGAGCTGTTGAGGGTGGGAGGAGGGGGAAGGTGCTGACCTAGCACAGGAGGGGCAGGTAGTGCAGAATGCTACAATACCCAGGGGTGCCAGGAGATCCTTTTAAGAATGATGTGGTCTGAAACATATTAGCAGTTGTGTGTGCAGACACCTGCACATGATTCACGAGGTAAACCTAGAGAGTTCAAATAAGAATCCAGTGTGTCAAAAACCTTCTGACCTACTACAGTCTTCCCAAGTCCTACACAAAAGAAGTGTTCAGTTATTTATTTTTTGGTCAAAAAACAAGTGAAAGCTAAGAGCTAACAGTCTGAGGGATGCCTTGAGTTTAAAAAGGCTGTCACTGGCATTGACAAATGCTGTGCATATAACCTTAACTTTTAATTACTTGATCTTCTAAACTTGACAGGTCACTTGATCTTCTAAACTTGACAGTGTGGATAGTTAGGGGTTTTCAAAGGTTATGAAATTAAGCCACTAAACTTATATAGCGTACAATTCCTGCTTTATCAAAAGAGCATTTACATTTCTTGAATTTGAGCAATATGATTTGCTGGTTCTCATACTGAAATCTGCAAGCTAAATAAGCTAGCAAAAAGCTATGTATATTCCTAAGAAGCTTTATAAATTGGGACTCGTTCATGTTTGAATTTATATAAACTACTACTACTTCCATGCCAATATTCTGAATTACTCTCATCTTGAATTGTTATAAAAGAATTTAAGCTTGAAGAGTTCCCAAAATAGATGTTCAAAATAAATTACCAAATGAATCATTTTCAAACTTAGCTGGATTTCAAAGCCTGAAAAGTATCAAGAAAAGTTTAAAATTCAGTTTCCAGTTACAGCTGCATCCATTTATGCCTGGAAACAACAAAATGATTGATTATTGATTAAGCTTCCCCAAAACATCTGTGTTTTGATCAAATATGGACAACTTGAGAAAATTATACAAGCATCCAAATAAAAGAGAGCAGAATAGAAGCTGGAATTCAACTAATTACAGTGGAAATAATCCATACCAGATATAATTTTTCTTGATAGTCTTTTGTTTTCATATTAGAATGTTCAATTCTGAAATCAGATTACATAAGCTCAATTCAATAGTGGACAAAAACAGATATTGTAAGAAAAATTGATATCTTCCTGGTAAATTATTTTTTTAAATGCAACTTAATAATTATGTTGCAGATGCACCAACCACCAACAGGAGCCCATAACCAAATGACGTCAGTTAATTAGTAGATAAGCACATCTCAATACATTACCACACAGTTTGTTTAACTGTATATAGCATTTTATGTATTGCAAAAAGCTTGATACTGCAGGAATTCTTTAAGGAAGAAAAAGAGGAAAAAGTGTTAATTGCGCAGTCATGCAATAGGGTTAAGGCTTCCAACAAATACTGAACCAACTTACTCTCTAAAGAGAGTTCCAACACAGGGGACAGCATGCAAAAAGGAAAAAAAAAAGGGGGAAAAAAGATAAAAACACACAAATTAGTCTCCATCAATGCAAAGTTCCTGTATGGAAGAAAAAAAACACAAAAAATAAAAACAATATTTCAAAAGCTTTTATAATAAATTTCCAGAACAGTACAGAAGCAACCATTTTAGTTTGCCCTTTACTTCTTTAAAACCACTTTTCTCTTGAAGTTACCATTCAGTCTCTGTTTTCCCCCAAGCAGTTCCTCACATTTGACTAAGAGCATGTTAAAAGTGTATAACATATGGCAGTTGACATATTTCCTGCAGAAGCTTGAACAAATACTCTGAGGAAAGATTACATATCATGATTTCACATGCAAATACCAACAAAACTTACTATTTGTTAATCCTGGGATACTTAAAAGTTGCTATTCTCCTGTTCAATCATTGGTTGGCATTTAGCAGGTTTGCAATATCTAATGGCAGAACAGCACTAGATTGAGGAAAAGCTATTAATTTTTTAAAATACACTTTTTAAAAATCAAAATAAATAACTGATTTATGTTGACCATCCTTTTGATTACAAAACAGAAAAGTGTGCCCAGTAAACCTAAAAAAGGGAGTATCATAATCAGAAGGAATGAAGTAATTTGCTACAACTGTAAGTACCTTTTATGAAAATATGCCAAATTTAGCATTTTGATACAACCCTAATATCAAATATTTTAATTCTGTATATTTTGCATACAAAAATGTGTTTTTCTTATTAAAAAAGGTCTTTACACTGTATTCTTTGATATATTAAACAATACAATATTAAAGACACCACTAGTGACCTGTGAACAAAACTGACTCAGCTAAATGAAGTTTAAAAAATTAAAGATTTTTGTTGCTACATGATGCATAAAACATCATGTACCCCAATACTTGATCATCTTCTCCTTTCCTACTTTTGGCTATTTACTCAGTCTCTCTGCAGCACTTAAACTTCCTTTTTCCTCACTGCTTTCTCTCCTGAACTCCTGGGTTCAACAAGTCCTTGGCTTTGCTTTCTTAACCCTTGTTCCCATGTGTATCCCAAATTTCCCAAAAGGCAAAACTTTGCTACTGCAACAGCAGAAATCTTGACAAGTTATTTTGGTGCTCACTATGGCTCCTTATTTTGTCAGCTTTTCAATTAATCCAGTTCTGAAAACCTGTCATGTTTACATTTTATGAGCCAGTTCTGAAAATTCCACCAGTCATGACAATCAGTTGTGACCACCAGTGTAACAAGGGATGAGAGTGACCAAAGTGCCCACTTCACAGGGGTGCAAATATGGCAGCTGCTCCCACTGCTGGCCCAGCCACCACTGCCACCACCAAGGATGAAGATCCTGGTAGTTAAGTCCCTGGTGATTCCATTAATTCTGAAATCATTAACTACTTTTGATTATTCAATTTTGATGTTTGTGCTATCATTTAACTCAGTGGTGCTCAACCTTTTTGGCCAACAGGCCAGATGGGTAATTCTTGATCCCTCCTCAGGCCAGATCCAGCAGGGCCCCATCCTACCCCATGGGGGGGGCAGCCTGGCTCTGATCTAGTGATGTGGTAGAAGGGAGACTTGGGCCAACCCCAAATGATTCAGCCCCATGGGAGGAGACGGTGTGGCCCAGCCCCACAAGAGGACAGGGACATGGATGGCCTGGCCCCAACCAGGACAGGCAGAGGGAAGGGGGTATGGCCCAGCCCCATGGGCAGGGGAGGGGGCAGGATGTGAACAGATCCTGAA